GAGTGACTAATGAACGTATTCGAAAACCAGTGTCAGTGATTTATTATACAAAAACATGCGCTTGGTTGACAAGTGTACATGCAGATTGGTTTTGTTGACTGTGTTCATAAGAGTTACAAGTGGTACATGAAACTTTTCTTCCATCTCATGGACATTCAATGCTGAATGCATATAAAATGTACCAAATAAAGACTGGTAACAGACCACCGTATGGGGAATTTTGTTTGTCTGTTGTCAGACAACTCATAATGAATACCAGGTAACAACACCTGCAATACAACATGGTTTCCCCGAATTCATCACAATATACCCAAGCGTTTGAGGAGAGAAGGTGATCATTTCATAATACAGCTTCCTTCAACTCAAAAAAAAATTTGCTCAGAAGAGATGCATTGTCTGTGCACAACAAAACGACGGCAACAATGACGTAAAGACACTCGGTTTATGTGTGAGGAATGTAAGGTGCCTGGCATTGGTGCCTTGTTTCAAGGAGTTCCACAAGCTCCAGCAGTTCTAAAACCATGTCCAGTGATTGTAAATATGTAAATATATGATAGAACATTATACGTATTATACAATATTTGTGCATTTTTATTGTAATAAACAACAGTGGTAAACAATAATATGATAATAACTTTAGTGCGGTTATTGTGTTCAATACAGTGAGTATATATATATCAATTATATAACAGTATTGGTCCCCTCGGGCCCCAAATTTTTGTAGGAATAGAAAAAAATTGGAAAAAAAAAGAAAAAACAACTAAAAAAAAAAATAATATAAAAAGGTATGTGGATTCGTAAATTTTCCCGCCACCACATCTTTTCGTAAATTTTTTGGCACTGTATCTCGGTAATAGATAATTCTAATTTTTTTTTTTATTACCTTCACAAAATATTCTTTTAACGTAAAAAAAAAATTTTTTTTTTTTTTTTTTTTAAAAAATTTCTGGACACGGGGGTGGTGATTCAGTTTTGGCCCTGGCCCCTGAAGGGTTAAGGCCTGTAGTGTAGATTGCACAGTAGTAAGTGGGATTACTAAACGGGAGTAAGTTTAGATCTATAAGAGGGGGGGGGGGGTGTGTTGCCGGGGAGGGGTTTTTAGTGATTATTCTTACTGCAGCTTTTTGTGGTTATTTTGGGTTTTAAAAGGTTGTTGCTGCAGTTGACCCCAAGCACAAATACTAGGTGAGGTATGGAAAAATGAGTGGATGTGGGGAAAAGGGGGCATTTTGCGGCACGGTATCATATTTGGAGAGGACCCAAACGGGTTTGGGGATATTTTTTGGTTGTTTTTGGTATGGGTGTGAAATTCAGGTTGTTGTCAAGGGTATGGGCCTAGGAATTTCCCCTCATTATGTCGGAAATTAGAGTGTTGTCGATTTTAATGTTAATTTTGTTCCGCTCGCTCCCAAAATAATATAGTAGGTTTTGTCAGTTTAAGCGAAGTTTATTGGTGTCATCCAAGTCGATTTTTTGATCACCCCGTTAACAATGTGTTGAGGGGGCAAGATAGGGTGAGAGAATGAATAAGTCGTGGTCAAAAAAGGAAAGGTTTCAGGTGTTGGGTACGTTTGGAAGATCTTGATTATATGGGAAGAGGGGGGCCCAAGGAATTCACTGCGAACCCCAGTATCAAGGGGCCCGTTTTGTTGATGCTGTTTTTTAAATGGTAACAATGATCCCTTTTAGTAAGATAAGATTTGAAATAAGAACCATGGCCCTTATACTGTAATGGAAATTTGTGGAGTGGGATGTCGTGGTTTTAAACTGTGTAAAAAGTTTTCTTGGGCAATAAAAATTCCTAGGGGATTTTCCCTTTTTTTAAAAGCTGTGTAAAGCGATAGCTTTTTTAGATTGATCATTATGTTTTATTTTTCCAATCCAAATTGGGGGGTTGGTATTTTTTTGTGCTGTTATAAAGAATATTTTGTCACGATTTTTCAAATTTTGAATAGCAAGGGTAAGTTTGATATTGGTATAGTTTTTTAAGTTTAGGTCCCCCCTTTATTATTGGTGAAACCTTTTCCCATCTTGAGTTTTTGGGAAGGTGATTTTCTAGTGTTTGTTAAAAAAAATAAAATACTGCAAAGGTTGGGGGCCGCTCGCTTGTACAGTAATGGTGGGACTTTAGACAATTTCCCCCTGATTTTTTTTTAAGTGATTTATAATCTGGGGTGATTTCCCACCGTTGTGCAAGATAAAGGGAAATTTTTGGGAAATATCTGGGTAGCCCCCGGCATGGGCATTAGTTGGGGATTTTTTTGGCGGATTAGATCCTTGGTTGAAAAAAGTCGTTTTTTGTTAGCTGTGTCAGGGGGATGTAGGGGTGTTTCATTAGTTTAGTTAGGAAATATTTTGGGTTTTTTTTTCGTTTGTGGGTCCCTAGAATCTGAGAGTGTTTTCCAGGTCTTTTTTATACCCCCCCTTATGTTTGTTCTATGGATTATAGTTTTTTTGGCTTTCTTTTTATTTTTGGGGAAATGATGAATAGTGTTTAAGAATATTTTGTGATTAAGCCGCTTATTGCTTTAGTTCAAATCGGTAAAGAGCATTTCTTGCATACTCAGTTGATAGAAAAAAAAAGGAGTTCTAAAGAAATACTATGATTGGCAATGGAACAATGGGGAAATTGGCCAAAAACGGCTCAAAGCACGAAATCGCAATGCATACTTGCCCAGACGCTAATTTTGGGAGTGTAATTCCGTGAGTTTTCGGGCCAAAATTTGTACTTTTGGGGTCATTACCCCGGGAAAAGATTATCATTTCATCCTTTTTTTTTTTTTTTTTTTTTTTTTTTTTTTTTTTTTTTTTTTTTTCCAAAATTTTTCGACATGAATGATTTCAGAAAGGGGGTTTTGGACATCAAAGGTTTAAGGTGAGAGGTAAGTGGCAGGGTGTTTATTGAATAAAATCAAATGGCACGCCATCATCCTCAACTTGGACTTAAACAGAGGCTTACGGGTCTTTTTATCAAGTAAGCTTTTGAGCCATCCATGAGACCAAAAGTTAACGAAGAGTAAATGAGAGAGAGAAAAAAAATAAGAGTTCAGATAATTTAAGAACAAACTGAACAGGGAGGGGCGATCATTTGTCAGGCAAAATAAATGGTATTAATAGTGTTGTTTTATTCTTCATGTATGTTTGTAAAGTTTGTAAAACTTTTTTCCCCACAATATTTTTTTTAAATAATAAATTACTCGCAATAAATTACTCTGACATTTTGTACAATTAGTACAAATAAACAACAGCAAACTCCCTTCTCATGCAACGCACCCCTTTTTAGAGTGAAGTAAATTATTCAAAAAAAAAGCGCTAAACCCACAAGGGCGTGATTGTATATCAGTGGACCCCCCCGGGTTTAAGAATTTTTTCATTCCCTATATGTTTAGGTGCCCTACTAGAATTTTTTTCCCTAAGGGAAAATGTGAAGTAGATTTTGTCCATTTGACCCCCCAAAAATACAATACAAACCATTTAATAAAAACATTACATAATTGGGGCGATTTGGAGGTGCGTTTGGGGGGGTCCTGTATAGATGAAGGGATAGAAAGGAAAATTTTTTTACAGGTTCCCCCCGTGTTTATAGAGAAAAATAATTTTGACATACCTAACAGCTGCTTTGTAAACAAATCTCATATTTACATCATTTTTATTCTGTGAGTGTAAATATCATGTTTATATGCTATGTAATGTGTTTCTTATATAATTTTGAGGAAAATATCATAGATGGATTAATGAAAATGTCTATATTAGTGTAAATTAAGACATTTAATGCACCCAAGAGTGATGATTATTACGTACTAGTGGCGTCATGAGTAAAGAGAGATTTAGCGATTTTAATGTGTACCTGCACACCAGCACAGTGTGTAAGTATATTTAGCTACAGGTACACAAGTATAATTATCAGAGTACATATAAAATACGCAATACCTATAAAACACTTGAAATTTTGGAAAGTTTCCTGACATAATATATGTGGTCACGGAGAATCTAAACAAACCGGGTGGGGCACGCCATATTTGATGGACCACTTGCCGTACAGCAAATTTTGGTCAATAATTTGACACCGCTGTATTACCGGAATGCCGTAAGGCAAAATGCTGTAAAGCAGGGTTCTACTGTATAGTATACCATTGCAATACTGTTTCATTTAAAGCTTTGGATTTGAAGTGATTACATACAAAAAATAGAAATATGTAATTATATTTTATTTTTGATGTTAATTAAATACAGTGGACCCCCACTTTACGATCAGTTCCCAATGAGACCAATTATGTAAGTGTATTTATGTAAGTGCATTTGTACGTGTATGTTTGGGGGTCTGAAATGGGCTAATCTAATTCACAATATTCCTTATGGGAACAAATTCGTTCAGTACTGGCACCTGAACATACTTCTGGAATGAAATAATATCGTAAACCGGGGGTCCACTGTATATATATATCTTCTTTCAACACCCCGGCCGTATCCCACCAAGGCGGGGTGGCCCAAAAGGAAAAACGAAAGTTTCTCCTTTTAAATTTAGTAATATATACAGGAGAAGGGGTTACTAGGCCCTTGCTCCTGGCATTTTAGTTGCCTCTTACAACACGCATGGCTTACGGAGGAAGAATTCTGTTCCACTTCCCCATGGAGATAAGAGGAAATAAATAAGAACAAGAACTAGAAAGAAAATAGCAGAAAACCCAGAGGGGTGTGTGTATATATATGTTTGTACATGTATGTGTAGTGTGACCTAAGTGTAAGTAGAAGTAGCCAGACGTACCTGAAATCTTGCATGTTTATGAGACAGAAAAAAAGGACACCAGCATTCCTACCATCATGTAAAACAATTACAGGCTTTCATTTTACACTCGCTTGGCAGGACGGTAGTACCTCCCTGGGCACTTGCTGTCTACCAACCTACTACCTAGGAAATATATATATATATATATATATATATATATATATATATATATATAATAATGCTTATTACTAAATTTCTCTTATCAATCCTGCAGTACTTGGAAAGAAGATTTGGGATGCTGTGTCGACTGTGTGCTTCTTTAGCCTTCTCTCTCCAGATGACACTCTATATGGGAATAGTGTTATATGCTCCAGCACTTGCTTTATCAGCTGTCACAGGTTAGTGTATACTGTATATAGTTGACTGATATGTCTGCCTTTACTGTATAACTGTAATACAAGTGTAATAGGATGAGGTTAATCATAGAATTGATGAAGGAAAAAATGTGAGTGGTGCACTGAGGTGCGTTATCTATGGAGGCAAAGAAGGGAATGTATGAAAGTATAGTGGTACCAACACTCTTATATGGGTGTGAAGCTTGGATTGTAAATGCTGCAGCAAGGAGACGGTTGGAGGCAGTGGAGATATCCTGTCTAAGAGCAATGTGTGGTGTAAATATGGTCCAGGAAATTTGGAGTGTGGAAATTAGGAGAAGGTGTGGAGTTAATAAAAGTATTAGTCAGAGGGCTGAAGAGGGGTTGTTGAGGTGGTTTGGTCGTTTAGAGAGAATGGATCAAAGTAGAATGACATGGAGAGCATATAAATCTGTAGGGGAAGGAAGGCGGGGTAGGGGTCGTCCTCGAAATGGTTGGAGGGAGGGGGTAAAGGAGGTTTTGTGGGCAAGGGGCTTGGACTTCCAGCAAGCATGTGAGAGCATGTTGGGAGTGAATGGAGACGAATGGTTTTTGGGACCTGACAAGCTGTTGGAGTGTGAGCAGGGTAATATTTAGTGAAGGGATTCAGGGAAACCGGTTATTTTTATATAGCTGGACTTGAGTCCTGGAAATGGGAAGTACAATGCCTGTACTTTAAAGGAGGGGTTTGGGATATTGGCAGTTTGGAGGGATATGTTATGTATCTTTATACATATATGCTTCTAAACTGTTGTATTCTGAGCACCTCTGCAAAAGCAGTGATTGTGTGTGAGTGAGGTGAAAGTGTTGAATGATGATGAAAGTAATTTCTTTTGGGAGAATTTCTTTCTTTTTGGGTCAGCTTGCTTTGGTGGGAGACGGCCAACTTGTTTAAAAAAAAAAAAAGTGTAATAGGCATCATTTTTCTCAGTGGTACTATTGTTTTTAATTTTGCTACTATTGTTTACCTTGTATAATACCCCTTAATTATTTAACTTACATATATCATTGACATTATTATGACCAGTTGTGTTTTATAATCATGGTATTGTATCATGATTTCTACCTCTTCATGTGAGAGCTTTTAATTTTTTCACAAGTCTGTAAGTTGCTCCTGAAGTAATCCCTTGGTATTTAGCTTTGTTGGTATGAATCTCAACAAAACTTACTTCTGTTTTGGCTTGGGCTTAGTGATATTTATTTCCTATCTTGGTATGGATCTGGAAAAGTCATTAATCTCATTATCCTGTTTTCCAGTTTGAAGAGACATGGAGGCATTTTTTTGGGATAAATAAATGATGATTGGTTTTCAATTCAATATCCTATCTTTTTTATGCAGAGACATGAATTTATTGCATAATTTTCGTAAGGAAAGGGAAGATAATGAATAAAAGGTAAACTGGTCATTGATAGAAGATAGGCTTTGAATAAGTAATACAGTTAATACAGTTGATAGAATTACCAACATTAGATAAAATGACATAAGTGCAACTAATGCGACATTTGTAGGAATGTTTTGCTCTCCAGGAGCTTTGTCAAGCCCCTGACAAAATTCCTGGAGAACGAAACATTGCCACAATAAAATGTCGCATTAGTTGCACTCATGTAATTTTACCTAACACTGGATAAGTAGATGCTTTAACAATAAAGGATATGGTACATATGTTTTTTTTTTTTTTAACACATCGCCCATTTCCCACTGAGGCAGGGTGTCCCAAAAACGGCAGCGGCAGCAGCGACCTCTGAGCTCCGTACTTTTCTCCAACTATCAGAGCTACCAATGCTCCTATGATGACCTAGTTACATGCAAAACTGCACTACCCAACGTAGCACCCAGAATGACCAAAGATTACCAACAGTGAAACCTACAAATCGAACATAATAGAGATCAAAGGAAGACTGCCCACAAACTGAAAGCAACACCCCGCTGCCCAGCCGAACCTCGTATCCCTAGAACTTTAATATAACTACAACTTCTTACTACAACAATTCCTGCGTAGTATTATGAGGTGCAATCTAAGAGAGAAACAGCACCAAGGCCCAGCAAGAAAACACGAAAAATCATCAATTCACAAGTGTAGCCAGGAGACGCCGGCCCGCAACCACCCCACTCACCACCACTCAAGGCGACAACCAACAATAACAACAAACATGGCTTGCCACCAGCCCATCCTCCCCTCTCTTCCCCCGGATCAAGCCAACCAAGTAGTCTTCAGGTATGACCAACGATCCAGATACCCTTAAGTTCCCCATGCTATCTCCAACTTAGTTATTGAAAATATGAATCTTCAGAGACAATAACGAAAACAAAGACACCCAAGATCAACACAACTCTGAGAACAAAATCCTCAAGTCTTGATCACAAAAGTTATCAACACCAGGAATGACAAACTGTGACAAGCCATTCAGACAGTCATAGTAGCCATACCCAACAAATAATATCATCTTAATACAAAGGTTGAAGAAGCAGTAAAAGAATGGAAGAACAACTTAGATAACCAGTTCAGTGACTACTTTGCTCTCCAAGAAGATAAAACTGAACAAGATAACCTATCGGACGCAGTAATAGTTAACAGTCCACTTTTTCCCAGTTATATGAACCAAAACAAACATAAAGAGAAATTACTCTGCAATCATAAAGGACCAAAACAAGTGTTATTGTATCTGAGTCTGAAATAAAAGAAGCCAGGTTACTAGGATCCCATGGTAGAAAAAGTGTTGATCCCATGGTAGAAAGTGTTATGCTTAGATTCCACTCACATGACAGGAAAAAAGACTTAATTATTGGCATCTATTAAGTAAAGAAAGAGGTACACATAAACGAGTGTCTTACCAAAAAACGTCAGAACCTCCTGTATAGAGTAAGAAAACTTAAGCGGGAGAATAACGACACAATACACCAATGCTTCACACGGGATGGGAAAATTCTTGTTAGGAAAACAAATGTAGGTCAAAAGCTGAACACAATCACGAACGAGAATGATCTTTTTCTCGGGGATTTTCAGGTTTAAAAACTTAACAAAAAAAGGAATAAAACTAAAAAATTTTTGTCAACTTTAAAAAAACCTCCCTCTTTTGTTTTTTTGCTTCCATTTTTATTTTTTTTAAATTTTTGTTTGTAAAATTTCTAATGGTATTTTTCAAACTACCTCTTTTTTTTAAATTTTAATGTAACCAAAAAAATTAAATTTAAATTTTCTTTAATTTCTCAAATTTTTGCTTTAAAACCATAGCTAATTATTTTTCCTGTTTTTATCCCCTTTATATTTTTTAAAATATTTTACCCCCAATTTTATCCCTACTAAAATTAATAAAAAAACATTACTTTTTAAATTTTTTTTAACATTTTACTTAAAAATTTTATTAAAAACCCCTTTTTTATCCAAAATTTACTTTTGTCCCTTAAAAATTATTTAAATTTTCCCATTTTTGGCCTTTCAATTTTAAAATTCAATCCAATTTTTTGGGGAATTAACAATTTTTTTCACTTTTTTTGGGTAAAAAATTTTTATAAAATTTTAATAAAACCTTTTTTCCCCCCAAACCATAATCCCGACTTAAAAATAACTTCATAATTGGTCCCCATTTTATTTTGATTTAATCCCCCTTTTTTTCCCTTTTGTACCTGTCTACCATCTTCTATCAATTATAACCAAAAAATTACCTTTATTATTTTTTTTAACCTGCCATTTAATTTTGTTTCCCACTACTTTTTTTTTTATCATTTTTTATTTGTGTGAAATTTTGTGTATTTTCCAAATTTACTTTTTGCAAGTACCAATACTATCTTTTGCTACTATACCAACACCTCATTTTTTTTTTTTTTTTATTTTTTATTGTCAAAAACGCCAACTTTTTTAATATTACAAATCAGATCTTACTCCTAAACCAATATTTTTCATATGACTATCTGTCCATTTTAATTTGTTTCCCCTTACTCAATTTATCCCTTAAAAATTTTTTTGTCCTTTTTTTTAGCTCTATATAACTCCCTTAGATCATATATTCACAATTGTTAAACTAATCAAGTCATCCAGGTGCAAAAAAGTTAATAATTCACTTTTTTCCCATTATACCCCAAAAGCTCATTTTTTTTATTACCACTTTATTTTTCACCACAACTTAATTATTCCTTTTATTTAAAATTTTTATATTATAATTCAAACTTTAAAAATTTAAACCTTTAAAGTACACTACTATCATATTCCCAAGCTCCATTATTTGATCATCACTTTTTTGTTCACCAAAATGTTTTTAGTTCCCTTTTATATTTCTCCTTTATTTTAGCTTTAAAAAACCCCTAGCTCTTTATTTTTTACTTTTGTTAAATAATTCAGGTGTATTTTTTTTAGTTTTAAAATTTATTTTATTTTTTACTTAATTCTAATATAACCCCTACAAATTTTAGTTTACAAGCTTGACCTGCCCAAACCTCTTATTTAATGATTTAAAGAAAAAACAGTTACTGAATTTTCTACACGCGAAAAATAAAAGGCATTCTCAGGCCAACAACACCATAACATCTTAACTACAATACAATTTTTAAGCAGCATTATGATGACCTCTGAAATTCTAATTCCTTGCATGCCAATATGCCTTTATTACACTAACTGAAACGGCAAAAGCCGATACTACGATGTCTATGCCATTCCGGGTTACCACCCATCACAACGTAGGCCAGCCAAAAGGGGGGTGGCAAGCATAACACTCAACCAAACAAAAAATGTACACTAATCTTGCAAAAGGGGGATAAACAGGGGAATATTATAGCTAAATTCAAATCCAAATACCACAAAAACCTCTCACAGTGATAAACATCTACAAATTCCACAATCAACTTTACCCCAATTTAGTCAAAACCTAGGAATTTAAATGGCACGCATGAAAAAAGTCATTTACACTCTCAGGTCTTCATATAAATCTCCGAAAGCCCAGGACCCACACTTTACTGAATTCACAAACACAATGATAACTGCATGTTGCTACCAACAGTAACAAAACCTACAAGATTACAGGACTAGTGTTTCCCAATTTGCCACATCTGCCCAACCCCCTACCCCCTTTAAAACAGGCATAATTACAGATAATACCACAGACCACTCCACTTTCCTCTAAATTTTGGTAAAATACCCCAAGACACTACTAAATCCCTTCAGACTTCACAATGAGGCACCTTTAAATAACTTACAAAGCAGAACAAACTTTTGACGGGCACACTAGCTAAATCTATACAATATTGACGAATGTTTTAAAAATTTTTCTAAAAAAGCCCAATACTTTATAAAAAGCACTGCCTAAAAAAACAAAACAGTGACAGTAAGGACGAACACCCTGGCTAACACCCGCATTCCAAATCCATAAATACAAAACACGAATGAAAAAAAGTACAGAATGGGTCACATAACCCGAGACCAAAAAAAACTTACTCGTCAACCTAACCACCCCAAAGAAGGGCAAAAAAAATTGTATTAGAAACAGTTACCCAAATTACGATGATTAAAAAAAAAACCGGAAGGGCCCATCGAAATTTTGGGGAAAAAAAAAAGATATCACGACTAGCGAAAAAATTGCAAAATCAAAGAACCCCAACCCCACCAACAAAAAAAGCAAACAACCAAGATTTCTTTCCACTAAGGTCAAAACCTTGCCCAAAAATATCCCCAAACTCAGAACCCCACCAAAACACCTCATGGGAAACCCCCAAACACTGTTCCCCAGCTCCGACTAACCCCAAAGAAGTCTCCCCTTTTATCAACGCACTGAAAAACAAGGAGGAATTAAATCCCCTTTCCACCCTTTATATACAAAAAAACGTCACAAGTCATCACCAATCTTGCAAAAATCTTTAACAAAACCATTGAATCCTCCCCTTCCCACAGTTCTCAAAATGCAAGGGGCACCCCATCCCAAAAGGGGGAACCCAAAAAGAGTTGAATAACTTAGGCCAATATCCCAATTTTAAACCCCCCTCCAAAATCTTTTGAAAAATTTAATTTATAAACGAATCCCCTCCTACCTCATCTCCCAAACATTTTCCAAACCCCCGCCAATTTGGATTCAGCCTAATACAAATATAAGATGCTTTTTTAAAAACACATGCGAACAATAACACTGCAAAGAAAAAAGAAGTCCCTGGGGACTTCATTGCTTACGAAAGCTTTTGTACAGTTACCTGCTTGCTCCATGTAAAATTGTCCCTAGGTATTAGAGGGGGACTCCCTCAACTACCTCAAGTCTTACCTCACAACAGAAGCCAAATGTGTACGCAAATGGGCAAGCTCTCCGCACAAAACCCAAATTTAAATTGGTGTCCCCCGGGGAATGTCCTTGGCCCTCTTCTCTTTCCCTATACAAAATGACCTACCAAAAAGCTTCGCAATTACTCAAACCCACACTTTTTGAGATGACCCCACAAGTCTTCTCCACCCCGGCCCCGTCACGCTACCAAAACTGTAAACCCGAATTACAGAAAAAAATTTTACCTGGATGAGGGCTAACAAACTTACACTAAACATTGACAAAACCTACTCATTCATTTTGGTAGCAAGGGTACGATGTACCCCTTAACATAAAGATAAACGGTACCTACACAAAGCTAAAGAGGGAAAATTCTTAGGAACCACCTTGATAATAACTCAAATTTTTATACACATTACAACAATTTTAAAAATTTCCAAGACTGTGGGATACACGAAGATAGGGACTATGTTCCCCAGTCAGCCCCCCGGCCCTTACACCTTTTATTTTCCCCTATCTCACCTATGGAATTTGTGCTGGGGCTCAAAAACAATTAAACCTCTCAGACCCCTAAATTTCCCCAAAAAAAGCGAGTTAGAATTGGGAAAAAAATTCTCCTACAGGGAGCAACCCACCAAAATTTAAAAAAACTCAACCAAATACAAACCCATATTATTATTGACTTATTAACAACAAAAACACAAAACCTTTAAACCCTTTTCAATTCCCCCCAATCAAAAAAACTCCCCCAACCTTTTTTTTTTTAGTTTTGTATCTCCCCCAAAAATAATGTGCCTTGAAATTTAAATTTTAATTTTAAAAAAAAAACCTGAAACCCCCCTAAAAAACATCTTTTCCCCCAAAATAACAAAACTAAAACCATAAAAAAAAAGAACCAAAATTTTTTTAAAAGTTTCCCTGTTCTCACTTTTTCCCCAAAAAACCCAATTTTTTAATTTTTTTAAACCCTAAAATTAATTTTACCCGAAAAAAAAAAGAAACAAACCTGTTTTTAAAAAATTTTTTTTGTTTTTTTTTCAAAAGTTTTTACTATCACTCAAAACAATAATTTAACGAAAATATTAAATGGTTTATCCTTTATTTTTTTTTGTATCTTTTGTTCTAAAAATTTTAAAAAAAAAATTTAAAAACTTTTTATTTTTTTTAATACCCCTAACCCCACTTTCAAGGACTTCAATAAAATAACGTCCCTCTAAACTGTGAAGATCCCAAACCCCTCCTTTAAAGTGCAGGCATTGTATTTCCCATTTCCAGGACTCAAGTCCGGCTAACCAGTTTCCCTGACTCCCTTCACAAAATATTACCTTGCTGACATTCCACCACCTCATCAGGTCCCAAAATCTATTAGTCTCCATTCACTCCTCTCTAACACACTCGTACATGCTTGATGGAAGTTCAAGCTCTTTGCCCACAAAACCTCCTTTACTCCCTCCCTCCAACCTTTTCAAGGACAACCCCTACTCAGCCTTCCTTACCCAACAGATTTATACACTCTCCAAATCATTCTACTTTGTTCCATTCTCTCTAAATGATCAAACCACCTCAACAACCCCTTTTCAGCCCTCTGACTAATACTTTTAGTAACTCCACACCTCCTAATTTCCACAGTATGAATTCTCTGCATGATATTTACACCACACATTGCCCTTAGACAGGACATATCCACTGCCTCCAGCCGCCTCCTCGCTGCAGCATTTACAAACCTACCTACTAAGAGTGTTGGTACCACTATACTCTCATACATTTCCTTCTTTGCCTCCATAGATAATGTTTTTGTCTCCACAGATACCTCAATGCATCACTCACCTTTTTTGCTTCATCAATTCTATAGTTAACCTCATCCTTCATAAACCCATCCACTGACAAGTCAACTCCCAAATATCTGAAAACATTCACTTCTTCCATACTCCCTCCCTCCAGTGTGATATCCAATTTTTCTTTATCTAAATCATTTGATACCCTCATCACCTTACTCTTATCTATGTTCACTGTCAGCTTTCTACCTTTACACACCCTATACCTATATATTTCTATGTATATTTCTTATCTACAGGAATTTCTATCAACTGGTCAATCATCAGCATTGGGGTGGTGTGTACTTTCTACTCCACTCTTGGAGGAATGAAGGCTGTCCTAATAACTGATGTCTTCCAATCATTGCTCATGTTCGCTGCAGTATTTGCAGTGATCACACAGGGTGTGAGAGACTTTGGTGTTAGAGATATTTTCAAGATTGCTGGTGAAGGCAACAGACTGGAATTTTTCAAGTGAGTTTTGATTATAAGATAAATCATGAGTTACATCACACATTTATTATATAGTACTATACACCTGCAATATGCAATACAGCCTCTCCTCACTTAGCAACGCACTCGTTTACCAACAATTCGAACTTGCGATGGGCTCTCTGACCAGTATGCATACCTCAATAATGTATAATAGAGCTGATTTCCTCTATTCTGTTTACTACAATGTACAGTACACTACTGTGTAAATATTTAAAAATATACCAGAAATGTTATAAATGGTGCAAAGGTGACATTAAAACAATATCAGAGATGGTTAACACAAACCCACTACCATTATAGTTTGCGCCTCACTTAGCAATGAATTTGTTTACCGATGTGGTCTTAGGAATGAACTCTGTCGTTAAGTGAGGAGAGGCTGTATATAGTTGTATTGTACTGTAATTTATAAGAAAATTTGTAAAAATAGTCCCCAAGCTTGCTTTCTGTATTGAGGACTTTTTCTGTAGAAATAAATACCAAGCAAAGCTTGATACTCTCTTTTTAAAGTTTGTTTCTTTTACCAGTAGTGTCCAAATATATTTTACAGAAAACCAATGTAGAATAAATAAAGAAGGAACAAATACACAAGGCCAAAGAAAGACAACCCAAAGGAGAAAAAGGAAAGGAGAAGAGGGAGAAGAAGAAAAAGGATGAATCAGGTTAAGTCACAGGTGTTCTGAAGTTTGGAGCATTTTACAATGTAGTGGGAAAAGAAGGCACCTACAGAGATGAAGCCAGGACTAAGATTCATACAAGGAAAGTTGTGTATTAGGGAGGATTCAACCAGATGGCAACTGTTGAAGTTGGAAGTAGGGAAGACAGTTTTAGCAGAAGGCCAGTCGATAGGATGGCTATGATCTCTGACGTGATAGAAAAGAGCATTGTTAGTGTCGGCAAGCCTAACACTACTTTTGTGCTCCCTGAGTCTGTCAGAAAGAGATCGGCCAGTTTCTCTAAAGTATTGAAGAGGACAGGAGGATCAAGAAATAGAGTAGACACCAGGAGCATCTGTAGAGGGAGGAGAGGTATGAACGAGATTAGTGCGAGGACTGTTAGTCTGGCGGAAAGTAAGTTTGATGTCTAAGGAACGGAGAGAGTTGTTGAGATTAGAAAGATTGGAAATGTAGGGAAGGCAGAGGATAGAAGAGTTCCCAGGAGTAGAGAGTTTGGGAGACAAGAAATTATGTTTAGCACGGGAGAAGGCAGAGTCTACGAAATGGGAAGGGTAGCCAAGACGGGAAATTGAATTATGAAGAGTGGAACTTTCTGATTGAAGGAACTGACGATCACAGATGCGGAGGGCATGGAGAAAAGGGAGGTAACACTTTGCTTGACAGAGGAAGCATGATAAGAAAAGTAGTGCATGTACATGCCACTGTGCATAGGCTTGTGGTAAATGGAAAAGGCAAAACCTGTACCTGAGCAGTGGACATGATCATCAAGGAAAGGAAGTAAGGAATTAGACTCCCATTCAGCTTTAAACTTAATAAAAGGGGCAAGATTATTAAGAGCATCAAGAAATGGTTGTAAGGGACTAGTCTTGAGGTCACAGAGCAAAGATGTCATCAACATAGTGGAGTGTAGGAAGAAGAACAGTCTCTAAGTATTACATGTAAAGATTAGGAAGGACATAAGAAAGAGGAGAGCCCATAGTGACTCCGAAGGTTTGAGAATAATATCTCCCTTGGAAAGAAAAGGAATTAGTCCACACAGGTGGATAAGATAAGAAAGATATCAGTAGGTATTGGGAGACGAAGAAACCCTTCATTGGCTGCCTTCTAAGAAAATCAAGTGACATCATCAAGTGGGACATTGGTGATGAGGGACTCAGCATCAAGACTAAGCATCTTATAGGCCGGGAGAGAGCGAACCTGTTCAGTGAAGTCTTGAGAATGACGGAGGTAGGCAAGAGAAAAGGTACCAAGAAAGGGAGTGAGGGTTTTGGCCAGCCAAGAAGCAAGAGAATAAGAGACAGAGTTTTGGGAAGGCCATAGAAATAAGGCAGAGAGGGGCAGATGACACAAAAACGTTGAACAAGGTCAAAGTCAGGAGGACAGAGGTCGGAGATTGTCCTTAGTTTCTTGTTGAAAGTTCTCTTGATGAGATCAAGAGGGTTGGAAACAAGAGGAGTGTAGGTACGTGAGTCAGAGAGCAAGACATCAGCTTTACGGAGGTAATCCTCGCGATCAAGGATAACTGCCAAATTACCTTTGTCAGAAGATAGCATGAAAATGTTAGTGTTGGATTTAAGAGAAGAAAGGGGAAGTTGGTAATGGCGCAGAAGGTGGTGGTTCTTAGTAAACAGACTATCAAGAGCAGGAAGGAGGGCGCCATAAAAAGTGGACAAGTCAAGAAGATTACGAGAGTGAGACTGACAAAAAGAATCATAAGAGCTGATCAGGGCAGTACCAGCACAAGGGGTTCAAGCTTATATTGAGAGAGCGAGACAGAAGACAGGTTAGTAACACAGTAAGGGAGAATTTAGACCAAGGGCTATCTGAGATGAGATGTTGAAGCTTATTCTGTAGTTTAGAAAAATAAATTTGTGAATTCAGGCGAGCGGTGTCAAAAGCAATGGTAGAGAGAAGGTTACAGAGCTCTTGTAGAAGAGATGCAAAGAGAGCACATTGACATTGATGGAGAGTAAAGAAGGCATCTTCAACCTGAGACTAGTAGAGAGAATGAGCTGTTGAAGTAGGAGACGGGCAATATTACATACCTTTATTGAAGACTCTTCTTGACTAACGGAAGATAGGGAGGAGGAGAGAGGAAGTTGGAGGTTATTGTTTGGAAGAGGGATCCCCCTCCATAATGACTTCAGGTAACAAGCCCCTCTATGGGGTTACTTCCCTTCTTCGTCTTTTAATACCACTAGGACCAGCTTGAGAGTCACTGGACCCCTGTCTGCACAAAAAAATCTGTCCACAGAGGTCTGTTTCTTTTTTATCTCCCTGAAGTGGGACAAAGTTTTGTCACTGAACATGTTGCAGATATGGCTTGTTTCAGCTTGGTCAGGGTGATACTTTCCAACAAAACTTTGCAACTCATTCCACTTTGCACACACGTCCCTAATCACTGAAGAATGCACCTTCTCCCCTTTCTCTTCCTCCTCCTCTGAAGCAATTTCCTCAGTTGCAGTCTGTTGCTGTTCCAGTTGAAGATCTTGTAGCTATTCAGTTGTTAACTCTTCCCCGTGGTCCTCCGCCAACTCTTCCACAGCCTTGCCACTCACATCCAACTCCATGGACTTCCCGAGTGCCACAGTAGATTGCACAACAGAACTAGGTTCCTCAGAGTCAGCCCCAAACCCTTCAAAATCCCTCTCTTGGACACAATCTGGCCACAATTTTCTCCAAGCAGAGTTCAAAGTCCTGGAAGTCATTCCCTCCCAAGCAGTGGAGGATATTGAAGTGATTCCTCCAGAACTCTCTTAGGGTCAAGTCAGTGTCCGAGGTCACTTCAAAGCACCTTTGAAACACTGCTTTTGTGTAAGTTTTTTGAAGTTTGAAATGACCTGCTGGTCCATGGGCTGGATGAGAGGAGTGATGTTAGGAGGCAAGAACTTCACTGCTATAAAACGGAAGTCCCTAAACAATTGGTCGTCCAAGTCTGGAGGATGAGCAGGAGCATTGTCCAGTACCAGGAGGCACTTGAGAGGCAGTTTCTTTTTTCACACTGGGGCCAAACACATCATAGACCCACTCTTCGAAAATGTGCCTTGTGACCCATGCCTTATTATTAGCTTTCCACATCACACACACACTATTCTTGATGACATTGTTTTTCTTGAACACACTGGGATTTTCAGTGATACACCAGTAAAGGCTTCACTTTGAAATCCCGACTAGAATTACCACAGAACATAAGAGTAAGCCTGTCTTTCATAGGCTTGTGTCCTGGCAGTGCTTTTTTCTCTTGTGTAATGTAGGTCCTCTTTGGCAATGTTTTGTCACAATTGAACACTTGTTGGGAGAGGAATCCTTCAGCCTTTATGTACCCCTTGAATTCCTACACAAATTTTTCAGCTGCACATTTGTCAGAACTTACAACCTCCCCATGCCTTACCACACTGTGTATGCCACTATGTTTATTAAATCTCTCAAACCAGCCTTTGCTGGCCCTAAATTCACTAACAGCAGCACTTGTTCCAGGCATTTTCTTTGCAAGATCCGCATGCAACTAACTGCCTTGCCTTCTCACAAATCATCGATTCCGCAACACTGTCTCCCACCAATTGTTTTTCGGTGATCCACAAAACCAACAACTTCTCCATGTCTTCCATTATCGTTGGCCTTTGTTTGGTTAGTACATTTACTCCTTTCGCCACATCAGCTTCCTTGATTTGTTCTTTCTTTGCCAGGATAGAAGTGATTGTTGATTTGTTTTTCCCATACATCCTGGCAATTCTAGCACTCGAAATCTACTCTCAAACTTTTTAACAACTTGTTTCTTAAATTTCATTGTGTTTCTCACTTTCTTTACCAAAGTAGCTATAATAGGAAATTTCTATGGGGCTATGGTTACTTATTTCTCAGTTGCACTAATCAATAAACATGAAAAACAATGGATTATAGCAAAATGTTTGGATGAATGAGCAGAAGCTTCCTCACTCACCCAGAGACAAAGCCAGACTGATGCACGAGCGGCTTGCGGCAGCGGGTTGACACGTACGACACGTACCATACGGCTGATAAGCGAAATAACGGCCGATAACTAGAAGCCAAATGGTGGATGGTAGAGGTTCTGGTACTAAAGTCAGTGGTTGTATTGGAGTGTGCATAAATTCTGTAATGAATCTCAGGGCTCTTTTACCCTGCAGTACATTATACAGCGATGGTAAGGCATCATCTGGTGTAGATCCCATTTCAAAGCACTGCTTCTAGATTTGTCAGGGTCCTCTTCAGTGAAAGTCTGCTAGTTTAGCAGCAACATGGAACTGCTAACGTAACTACTGCAATGTTAACTGTTTTTCTTCAGGTTCTTCTTCATCTTCTGTTATGTGGCTCCCTTGTATCTGTGCATTGAGCTCTGCCACTATATTCTCTGGACTCCTGTCTTCGTCATCATCATCATCTTCTAAGAGCTCATTCACATCTTCATTCATATCTTCAAAACTATCACCTGGTACTCTCCTTGCCAGCTGAACAATTTCCAGAACTTGACTCAGGCAAGGGAAAACCAGTGAAAGAACTAACTATAGAAGGCCATAACTTTCCCCAGCCTGCATTTAATGTTGATTGGGGCACTTCATTCCATGCACTTCTGGCATAGCTGATGGCATCTGCAATTCTAAATTTATTCCAGAAACTTCGTACTGCCAGGTTGGAGTCAGTCCATTGATGCAACTAGTTTTTTTCATAACTTTTTTTGTGTAGTTACACTTGAATGACTTAATAACTCCCCAATCCAATGGTTGTATTAAAGATGTTGTATTTGGAGGTAAAAATACAACTTTTACATGTAGGGTCACATCCAGCAAAGCATGTGGATGAGTACAGGAATTATCAAGAATGAAGAGAGCCTTGAATGCAAGGTTCTTGCTATGCAGGTAGAACTTGACTTCAGGAATAGTGATGCCAAAACCAGGCAATAAATATTTCTTCTGCCATCCATCCTGACAGGTTTGACCTCCAAATTACTGGTAAGGTGTTTTTATCTACACCTTTCAAAGGACGAGTATTGTTAGAGCGATGCTCCAAATTTTTTCCCCTCCCACAAACCAAACCGTGTTAAGTTAATTTTATGAAGCGCAGTAACCAAGACATGTCAAATAAAACAGTGTAATATAGCAGTCTACTGTATACCATAGTGGCTTTCTTTGTACCAATCAGATTATGAAATGTAAACACACATTGTAACCTTTGCAAAGAAATAAACTTTTGTTTTATGTATAAATTTTTATTCTTGGTGTGATATTGGATTTCAAAGTGTGTATGGTCCTAACAAGTTGTGAATTTGACATTTGGCAAATTAACTGTATTCTTAATATAGTATAGAGGAGGTATATTTATTTTTCTATTCAAAATGTTTAGGCTTTTTTTTTTAATTTGCTTAGCAATAAAGTGCACTTTGTTTATTGATCTTCATTTTGATGTGCTTACAGTGTGTCACCTGACCCACGTACAAGACACACAATATGGAGTTTGGGTATCGGTGGGTGCTTCACATACTGCTCACTCTATGGGGTTAACCAGGCTCAGGTCCAGAGGCTTCTTACTATTAAGTAAGTCATAATTACATTATCTTGGAGGTTGGAGACAAGTTAATTAATTGTGTTGACTGGAACAATGATTAGTAACTTAGAGAATCATGCATACATATTTATTTTATACATGTATAGACTTTTTTTTTTTTGGCAAAGAATGATCCTTTGAAGCAATTGTAAAAAGAGTTGTGATATGTAGAGTACATAACACCTAAATAAAAACTTAGTTCATAAGTTGAGGAGGGTCCCTTGATGCTGAAAGGCTTTTAATCTCAAGAAATAGACCTTCCCTCCCTTTGCTTAGCTCAAACCTGATTGCCTCAGGACATTTCTTAGGTGTTGTATGGCTCCTGTGGTTTTGACACTTCTCATTAGTATACTAATAACACAAATAATATACAGCAGTTTACCCTATTATTGCATCTATACAGTAATTTGTGTAACTCTTACATTCTTCTGTTCAAGACAATAAATCATAATACCAACATAGAATTAGGATTCTTTTCAAAGGGCTTCAACAAAATCCATGGGCATCAAACAAGAAATGAATTTCCATTTAATATTCCACGTGTACATCTGAATCTATGTAAATAGATTATGCAAATAAAGGGGTGCAGAGTTTGGTATGGTCTACTAGAAGAAACCAAAAACTATGTAATTGTGAATAAATTCAAAATGCAACCCAAAAACATTGTCTGAACTCCGAGGTTTTATTCTTCACTATTTTTCTCTCGATAAGTTAAACTAAATTTCATTTGTATATTTGCTAGAACTAAATGGTTATAAGCGATCATAATTTTTAACCCTTTCAGGGTTTCGGCCGTACTAGTACGGCTTACGCACCCTCAAATCTAGTGAGAGAAAGCTGGTAGGCCTACGTATGAAAGAATGGGTCTATGTGGTCAGTGTGCATGGTATAAAAAAAATCCTGCAGCACACAGTGCATAATGAGAAAAAAAAACTTTGACCGTGTTTTTGAATTAAAACAGCGACTTTGCACTGTGTTTTCGTATGGTGTTTATTGTTGTATTCTAGTTTTCCTGGTCTCATTTTATAGAATGGAAGACATATTACAGAAATTGAGATGATTTTGACTGGTTTTGGAAAGAAAAGTACCTTGAAATTGAGCTCAAAGTAGCAGAAATGTTCGATTTTTACCAAAGTTCAAAAGTAAACAAATCATGCTATGCATCCAATACACGTCAACTGGTGAGTCTAATATTCTTTCACAAATGCGCTGATATTATTTATACCATTTCTACACTAATGCAGTAGTCTGCATAACAGTACATGTATATCTTTCTATTTTTTTGTGAGAATAAAAATTCAAAGTGGAAAGCAAAAGAATGTAAGAGGGGCATGGGGACATGACTAATGAACAGAGGAAATGTTATTTTAGTGCCAGGAATGTCTTTCTTGTTTATTCTGGACCCTATTCAGAAATGGGCATCTTTTGAAATTTGTGTGAAATTAGCAAAATTGCTAAATTCTGACCACTTTATTGGATAGTTGAAATTGGTAAATGGGTGGTTTCTTGTACTCATTCAATAGAAAAAATGGAGTTCTAGCGAAATAGTTATGATTTTTGTCGACAAGTACACTGGAATTGGCCGAATATAGGGCTCAAAGTAGGCAAAATCGCCGATGCATAAACATCGTCAAGACCGCTAACTTCGTGAGAGCATAATTGCGTAAGTTTTCCATCAAATGTCATACTTTTGGTGTCATTATGATTGGGAAAAGATTCTCTATCTTTTCACAAGAAAAAAATAATTTTTTTTAAATTTGGCCGACCCTGAGAACAAGTCTCTAAAAAGGTTGAAGGGGTGGACCAATAAGCCAGTGAAAGGCCTTGGTGAGATGACCAAAAGCTCCAATGGCAGGTCATCATCTGACTAAGACCCGTGTCACGAAGCACTTGTCCTCTTCGTGATGAACCTTACCTAACCTAACCTGTATCTTGGCTTTCATATTCCATGTCTGATGTACTATAATTATCACACTTTTAATAATTTTTCATTAGTACAGTAGGGCCCTGGTTTGCAGCATTTTGCTTTACAGTGTTCCACTAATATGGACATTTCATATTACGACCAAAACTCACTATACGGCTCCCCCACCTGTCTTTCTAATACGGTCACTGTCCCATCCGGTTTGTTTACATTCACCATGAGCACATCTTTATATTATGTCTGGAAACTTCCTAAAATTTCAAGTGTTTTAAAGTTACTGCATACTTTATATGTACTGTGATATACTTATGTGTACTTGTACCTAAATATACTTACACACTGTGCTGGCATACAGGCATGCATTAAAATCACTAAGTCTCTCTACTCTTGAAGACTCCATAATAATAATGTCTTGGGCACATTAAATGTCATATATTAAATTAATATAGACATTTCCATTAATCCATCTTTGATATTTTTTTCAAAATTATATAAGAAACAAGTTACATAACAAACAAACATGATACATACACCCACCAAGCGGCTTCTAGGAGTGTCGGAAGAATTATGTTTTCTCTAGTTCAACACCATTTACTGGGGGATAACTGTAGAAAAATATTCCTTTCATATGCCTTCACTATCTATATTTATCTTTTTTATTATGATTAATAATAATATCACTCAAAATGGTGTGTTGCATGAGAATGGGAGTGTTGTTGTTTATTTATTTTTATGTATTAACTTGTACATAGTATAAGAGTATTTGTATTTGTATAGCACGTAATGAAAGTATTTGTTTGTTAGAGTATGTATTGGTGGATAAAAGGTTGATGAGTAGGCTCCAGGATGTACATGTTTATAGAGGGGCAACTTATATATCGTATCATTATTTAGTTGTAGCTACAGTTAGAGCGAGAGGTAGATGGGACAAGAGGAAAATGGCAACAACAAGTAAAAGAAAGGTGAAAGTGTATAAACTATGGGAGGAGGAAGTTTGGGTGAGATATAAGCAAGTATTGGCAGAAAGGTGGGCTAGTGCAAGTATGTGTAGTGGGAGGGTTGAAGAGGTTTGGAATAGTTTTAAAAATGCAGTATTAGAATGTGGGGCAGAAGTTTGTGGTTATAGGAGGGTGGGTGCAGGAGGAAAGAGGAGTGATTGGTGGAATGATGAAGTAAAGGGTGTGATCAAAGAGAAAAAGTTATAAGAAAAGCAGAGTACATGGAGAGTAAAAGAAAGGTGAAGAGAGTGGTGAGAGTGCAAAAGGAGAGCTTATAATAGGGTGGGAGAGGCACTGTTAAGAAATTTTAATGAAAATAAGAAAAAAATTTGGAGTGAGTTAAACAAGTTAAGAAAGCCTAGGAAACGAATGGATTTGTCAGTAAAAAACAGAGTAGGGGAGTTAGTAGATGGCGGGAATATTTTGAGGAACTTTTAAATGTCGACAAAGAAAAGGAGGCGGTAATTTCATGCATTGGGCAGGGAGGTATACCATCTCTTGGGAGTGAAGAAGAGCAGGATGCGAGTGTGAAAGGGGGTAAAGCAGCTGGCACTGATGGAACTGTTTAATAAATGTATGAGAGAGGGGAAGGTACCTTTATGTAAAGGGAAGGGGGACAAAAGAGATTGTAAAAATTTTAGAAGAATTAGTTTACTGAGTATACCAGGAAAAGTGTATGGTAGGGTTATTATTGAAAGAATTAGAGGTTAGACAGAATGTAGGAGTGCAGATGATCAAGGAGGTTTTAGAGTGGGTAGGGGATCTGTAGATCAAGCGTTTACATTGAAGCATATACGTGAACAGTATTTAGATAAAGGTAGGGAAGTTTTTATTGCATCTATGGATTTAGAAAAGGTATATGATAAAGTGGATAGGGGAGCACTGTGGCAGATGTTGCAAGAATATGGAATAGGTGGTAAGTTACTAAATGCTGTAAAGAGTTTTTATGAGGATAGTGAGGCTCAGGTTAGGGTGTGTAGAAGAGAGGATGACTACTTCCCGGTAGAAGTAGGTCTTAGACAAGGATGTGTAATGTCACCATGGTTGTTTAATATATTTATAGATGGGGTTGTAAAAGAAGTAAATACTAGGGTGTTTGGGAGAGGGGTGGGATTAAATTATGGGGAATCAAATACAAAATGGGAATTGACACAGTTACTTCTTGCTGATGATACTGTGCTTATGGGAGATTCTAAAGAAAAATTGCGAAGGTTAGTGGATGAGTTTGGGAGTGTGTGTGTATAGGTAGAAAGTTGAAAGTGAACATAGAAAAGAGTAAGGTGATGAGGGTATCAAATGATTTAGATAAAGAAAAATTGGATATCAAATTGGGGAGGAGGAGTATGGAAGAAGTGAATGTTTTCAGATATTTGGGAGTTGACATATCAGTAGATGGATTTATGAAGGATGAGGTTAATCATAGAATTAATGAAGGAAAAAAGGTGAGTGGTGCATTGAGGTATATGTGGAGGCAAAAAAACGTTATCTATGGAGGCAAAGAAGGGAATGTATGAAAGTATAGTGGTACCAACACTCTTATATGGGTGTGAAGCTTGGGTTGTAAATGCTGCAACGAGGAGATGGTTAGAGGCAGTGGAGATGTCCTGTCTAAGGGCGATGTGTGGTGTAAATATCATGCAGAGAATTCAGAGTGTGGAAATTAGGAGGTGTGGAGTTAATAAAAGTATTAGTCAAGAGGTCTGAAGAGGGTTTGTTGAGGTGGTTTGGTCATTTAGAGAGAATGGATCAAAGTAGAATGACATGGAGAGCGTATAAATCTGTAGAGGAAGGAAGGCGGGATAGGGGTCGTCCTCAAAAAGGTTGGAGGGAGGGGGTAAAGGAGGTTTTGTGGGCAAGGGGCTTGGACTTCCAGCAAGCGTGCATGAGCATGTTTGATAGGAGTGAATGGAGACTAATGGTATTTGGGACCTGACGAGCTGTTGAAGTGTGAGCAGGGTAATATTTAGTGAAGGGATTCAGGGAAACCATTTATTTTTATATAGCCGGACTTGAGTTCTGGAAATGGGAAGTACAATGATTGCACTTTAAAGGAGGGGTTTGGGATATTGGTAATTTGGAGGGATATATTGTGCATCTTTATACGTATATGCTTCTAAACCTCTGCAAAAACAGTGATTATGTGTGAGTGAGGTGAAAGTGTTGAATGATAATGAAAGTATTTTCTTTTTGGGGATTTTCTTTCTTTTTTGGGTCACCCTGCCTCAGTGGGAAACAGCCGACTTGTTAAAAAAAAAAAAAAAAATTATTTTGAGGTAATGATTATTATAATCAAAAAACAAATGAGGTAAAAATTTCGCAAACTCTTACAAACATACGTGAATGAACTAAAATTGGACGTGTATTAATATGAGTTTATTTCACCTGACCGAGTGGTCGGTTTGTTTGTTTACATTGTCTGAATTCCGTGTATCGCGTTCTCTCTCGTTTACTATTTCGTTGGCTAGTTGGCTCTCGTTGACGATAGCGTCGAAGCTTAGTTTTGATGAAAAGAAGAGTTGTAAGCCTCTTACTTTAACCCTTAAACGGTCCAAACAGATCGACGTTCAAATGCGTAGTGCTACAAAAGTAGATCTACTTATTTTTACATATTTTCAAATATAACAAAAAAAATGTAGATAAAAGTTTTTTTTACACGTTTTCACATGTAAAACAAAAAAAAAGATCTACATTGTTTTACATACTTTCAGATGTTGAAAAAACGTATATATACGTTTGGACCATTTAAGGGTTAAATGCCAAATTAGAAATTATTAAACTTAGTGAACTGACTTTTTTGGGTTATCCTAGGTTCTCTACACACATGTTTGATAATCTATGTACATCACTGTATTTGTGTACATATACCTGAATAAACTTACTAACAAGGTATGTCGATGGCTGAGATAGTCACCAAATAGTTACTTATAGCAGCATATGTGTAGAGAACCTAGGATAACCCAAAAAAGTCAGTGACTTATTGCTGACATGGAAAAACTTTTACACTGCCACTCAACTCTCGCACATTCATATTAATATTTTATGGTAAGTAACAAGTGTACTGTGTGTGTAATTTTCTTTTTATTGTGTTTTTTAATGCCTAGTTCTGTTGCTAACTTAATATATGTTAGTGTAAACCTGTTATCTAGCATTTATAAGTGGGAAAAAAAGGGTGTTCCACTTTACAGCAATTTCCGCTTTATGACGGTAGCTTGGAACCTAACCTGCCGTATAAGTGGGGCCCTATTGTACTAATTTGTTAGCATGTTCATGTTTTCATTTAGCTGTGGTACTCATTATACCTGGGCATTCATGAGGTTTATTACTATAATGTCAAGTCTTATTTCATATCTAGCATGTGTTATGTATGTTTGCAAAGTTTATTATTTTCTGTGGTAACTGTTATCATACCTATAAAAATACAAAAAAGTAAATCTTCAATACAGCATTAGTTTATTGTGTTAGTGATTTTTACTGATTGATTAATTTATTCATTAACTTTAATGTTACCATGTGTACTCTTTATTTGGCTATATCTGTTGTGTTATATATTGTATATAAATGTAGTATGTTCATTAGGTTTAGTATTACCATGTGAAGTACTTTTGTATATACAGTACAGTATTGTGTTTATATGTACACATACACACACCAGGGGCCAGAAGCTGTGACTTGACCCCTGTAGCCACATCTAGGCGAGTACATACATGCACACTCATACACCATTCTCTGTGGGAGAAAATATAAATGATAGTGATGCAGTAATGCACTAAATCTATTCCTGATATTTTTTTTTTTTATGCTTTCGCCATTATTCGTTCACTTGCTGTCTTTGCAGAAGTATGCTGTTATCACAATTAGATTACCCCTCCTAGTGCAACATCCCCACCCCTCCTTCAGAGTACAGGCACTGCCTTTCTCACCTCCATAGTGTAACATAAAAGTTAATTTTCTTTAATTTACATCCAGATGTTGTAATAAAAATGAAATTTATTATTTCTCAGAGATCTTCGCCGTGCTCAGTCGTCACTTTGGATCCAGTGGCCCATTCTGACTCTCTTGAGTCTTTCTACATCATTTGCTGGGCTGGTGCTTTATGCTCAGTACCACACATGTGACCCAATGAAGAATGGCCGCATCACTGACTCCGACCAGGTGTTTTTCTCAAGACATTTATGTTTACACTGCCTCTTTAGCACTAATTTTTCTTGATACTTCAAGAAAATAGATATCTAAAAATATTTTGACATTAAACCTATAATAAATACAGCAATTTGTTATCTAGAACAGGGTTCTTCAAAGTGGGGGTCGTGAGACTTGAGATGCTTTTCACTGGGTCACGGGCCCACCAGTCACACGGAGCAAATTGGTGTTTGTTTTTATCTGTTGTATTTTTAATCAATAAAGTATTGTTTTACTCCAAGCCATAAGCTTTACATTCGCTTATCTGTTTTAGATTCCATCATATTTTTAAGACTGAACATGGGAATTGGGTTAAGAATACATGATGGTATTGCACTTGGCAGTGTGAGAAAAAATTGAAGAACACTGATCTAGAACATAAGATGGAGGGTGTTAAAAGTCTATGCTTCCACTCACAGTGCAGTAATATAATTGCCTTTTTATGAGGCAAGCTTGAATGCAGTATTTATTTCTAGATATTCATGATACCTCATCATGCTGGCATATTATGTTAAGTCGCTCATTATAATTTATAAGGTGCTCTTAGCTAGCCAGCACAAAAAGTTCATGAATAAACAACATTGTAAGATAATAAGGTAATAATAGTTTGTATATATTATTATCTTTCATATTTGCCAGTTGCTACCACTCTATGTGGTGGAGACGATGGGAATGGTGCCAGGGCTCTCAGGACTCTTTGTGTCTGGAATATTTAGTGGGTCGTTGTCAACTGTGTCGTCCTCCCTAAATTCTCTGGCTGCTGTCACTGTCCAGGACTATATTTTGGTGAGTTGACTAGGTAGAGTTAAGGTAACCTAACAACTTTATATTTAGACAAATAAACTAATAATTTTCTCTTAACACTGATGCCTGTTGAAACTTATTTAAATCCCACCATTACATTCAGTAATGGAAAGACTTTTCTTTATCAATCACCAGTATTTAGAGGTGTATAATAAGTATTCTAAGTTACCAGTACTGCATAATTACAACATAAAATATGGAAAAACAGCAAAGATGTGATATTTGGTTTAATAGTAAGATGCAGGTGGGCAGATATGTAAAAAATATTACAGACCTGTAATGGAATAAAATACTGTATTGTATATTATAGTATTTTTATCTGTTATAATACAGGAGGGCCCTGCATATACAGCACCCTCTTTTCAGTGTTCCACATTTTTATTGGCTTTAAGTTGAGCCATTGTTTATTATGTTTGGTGCTTTTATCGCTTTTCCTCTGTTTTCGCCATTTTCATACAGTTGTGTAAGGGAAAGGCAATTGGCATCATATTTTAAGGTAAGTATTGTATGTACTGTGCACTTAATTTACATTTTCATCTTTTTTTGTGCCTAGTTGTATTGAGCACTTAATATATGATAGTGTACACACATTATCAGGCATTTTAGATGTATACATTCAGTAATGAAAAAATGCTCTTTTTCACTCACTGGTGATTTTCACTTACTGTAAGGGGTCAGGAATCTAAGAGCCATACAAATGGGGCTCTCCTGTACTGTAAAAGATACAGGTTATGGTTATTAAAATGTGTTAAATTAGTTCACAGTACTGTACTTTGCTCTTGTTATATTTTAATGTTTTTTTTTTTTCAAAATGACAGATGACAGCAAGGAAATGAGTGAGCTACTTAAGTCCCAATATGACTCAGTTTTTAGCAAGCCGCTACCCAGACTGAGAGTTGAAGATCAAAATGAATTTTTTATAAGAGCCACAGAATTTGGTTAACACAAGCCTATCTGATATTATCCTGACGCCAAATGACTTCGAACAGGCGATAAATGACGTGCCCATGCACTCTGCCCCAGGGCCAGACTCGTGGAACTCCGTGTTCATCAAGAACTGCAAGAAGCCCCTATCACGAGCTTTTACCATCCTATGGAGAGGGAGCATGGACACGGGGGTCGTCCCACAGTTACTAAAAACAAAACATAGCCCCACTCCACAAAGGGGGCAGTAAAGCAATAGCAAAGAACTACAGACCGATAGCACTAACATCCCATATCATAAAAATCTTTGAAAGGGTCCTAAGAAGCAAGATCACCACCCATCTAGATACCCATCAATTACACAACCCAGGGCAACATAGGTTTAGAGCAGGTCGCTCCTGTCTGTCTCAGCTACTGGATCAATACGACAAGGTCCTAGATGCACTAGAAGACAAAAAGAATGCAGATGTAATATATACAGACTTTGCAAAAGCCTTCGACAAGTGTGACCATGGCGTAATAGCGCACAAAATGCATGCTAAAGGAATAACAGGAAAAGTTGGTAGATGGATCACAAACAGAACACAAAGAGTAGTAGTCAACAGAGTAAAGTCTGAGGCAGCTACGATGAAAAGCTCTGTTCCACAAGGCACAGTACTCGCTCCCATCTCGTTTCTCATCCTCATATCTGACATAGACAAGGATGTCAGCCACAGCACCGTGTCTTCCTTTGCAGATGACACCCGAATCTGCATGACAGTGTCTTCCATTGCAGACGCTGCACGGCTTCAGGCGACATCAGCCAAATCTTTCAGTGGGCTGCAGAAAACAATATGAAGTTCAACGATGAGAAATTTCAATTACTCCGATATGGCAAACATAAGGAAATTAAAACTTGATCAGAGTACAAAACAAATTCCTTCCACAAAATAGAGCGAAAAACCAACGTCAAAGACCTGGGAGTGATCATGTCGGAGGATCTCGCCTTCAAGAACCATAACATTGTATCAATCACATCTGCTAGAAAAATGACAGGTTGGATAATGAGAACCTTCAAAACTAGGGATGCCAAGCCCATGATGACACTCTTCAGGTCACTTGTTCTATCTAGGCTGGAATATTGCTGCACACTAACAGCACTTTTCAAGGCAGGTGAAATTGCTGACCTAGAAAATGTACAGAGAACCTTCACAGCACGCATAACGGAGATGAAACGCCTTAATTACTTTAAGCACTTGAAGTTCCTGAATCTGTACTCCCTGGAATGCAGGCAGGAGAGATACATGATTATATACACCTGGAAAATCCTAGAGGGACCAGTACCGAACTTGCACATAAAAATCACTCGCAACGAAAGCAAAAGACTCGGCAGACAATGCAACATCCCCCGAATGAAAAGCAGGGGTGTCACTAGCATGTTAAGAGACAATACAATAAGTGTCAGGGGCCCGAGACTGTTCAACTGCCTCCCAGCATACATAAGGGGGATTACCAATAGACCCCTGGCTGTCTTCAAGCAGGCACTGGAGAAGCACCTAAAGTCGGTACCTGACCAGCCGGGCTGTGGCTCGTACGTTGGATTGCGTGCAGCCAGCAGTAACAGCCTGGTTGATCAGGCTCTGATTCACCATGAGGCCTGGTCACAGACCGGCCGCGGGGGCGTTGACCCCCGGAACTCTCTCCAGGTAAACTCCAGGCTGCCAATATGTTGGAAAGAAAGAGGAAACTTGTAACCTAAACATCATTGTTGCATGATTAATACATAGTGCTGGAGCACAGAACACAAGATATTTGTTTCTGCTTTGTGCAACAATAAATGCAGTAAGCTGCCAGATACAGGTACCATCCGATTTACGAAAGAGCTTGGTTCCAACCAACTGGTCATAAGTCAAAGTGGACGTACTGCAAGTCAAATCTTAGAAAATTTCTGATAGGGATACTTCAAAAATTAAATCTTAGTCTTGTAAGGTAATCATTCTTTCATGTTTGTTGTGGAAATTGCTTAAATCCATTCATTATTATTGATTGATTTTTCACAAAATAGGTGAATAACTTACTTCCGAGATAATAGCCGAAAGCATGCACATACCTAAGTACTCGGGAAATATTTTTTTCCTGAAAAAAATCCCCTTTTTTTGTGTGTGTGTGTGTTTATGTAAGCTATGAGTGTCTATTACAGTTTGCCCTCATGCTAGATCCATTTTCTCTCATAAGAGTGATGAAAGAAAGGATAATAAGCCTTAGGGTCGGTGGTATCCACAAAGTACTTATACATCCCAGCAATGTTTTAGACACGCTGGATTGACACTTGATGATCATGCACTGCCTTGGGTTTGTTTATTTTCACTGTTACATATACATGTAAACATTATCTGTCTATCCGTTTGTGTATGTCTGTGTCCATTTTTTTTTTTTTTTTTTTTTTTTTATTAACAAGTCGGCCGTCTCCCACCGAGGCAGGGTGACCCAAAAAAGAAAGAAAATCCCCAAAAAGAAAATACTTTCATCATCAATCAACACTTTCACCTCACTCACACATAATCACTGTTTCTGCAGAGGTGCTCAGAACACAACAGCCTAGAAGCATATACGTATAAAGATACACAGCATATCCCTCCAAACTGCTAATATCCCGAACCCATCCTTTAGAGTGCAGGTATTGTACTTCCCAGTTCCGGGACTCAAATCCGGCTATATAAAAATAACCAGTTTCCCTGAATCCCTTCATTAAATATTACCCTGCTCACACTCCAACATATCGTCAGGTCCCAAATACCATTCGTCTTCATTCGCTCCTATTGAACACACTCATGCATGCCTGCTGGAAGTCCAAGCCCCTTGCCCACGAAACCTCCCTTATCCCTTCCTTCCAATCTTTTTGAGGATGACCCCTACCCTGCCTTCCTTCCCCTACAGATTTATATGCTCTCCATGTCATTCTACTTTGATCCATTCTCTCTAAATGACCAAACCACCTCAACAACCCCTCTTCAGCCCTATGACTAATTCTTTTATTAACTCCACACCTTCTCCTAATTGCCACACTCCAAATTTTCTGAATAATATTTACACCACACAGGACATCTCCACTGCCTCCAACTGCCTCCTCACTGCTGCATTCACAACCCAAGCTTCACACCCATATAAGAGTGTTGGTACTACTATACTTTCATACAATCCCTTCTTTGCCTCCATAGACAATGTTTTTTTGTCTCCACATATACCTCAATGCACCACTCGCATTTTTTCCCTCATCAATTCTATGATTAACCTCATCCTTCATAAATCCATCCACCAACACGTCAACTCGTAAGTATTTGAAAACATTCACTTCTTCCATACTACTCCTCCCCAATTTGATATCCAATTTTTTTTTTATCTAAATCATTTGATACCCTCATCACCTTACTCTTTTCTATGTTCACTTTCAACTTTCTACCTTTACACACATTCCCAAACTCATCCACTAACCTTTGCAATTTTTCTTTAGAATCTCCCATGAGCACAGTATCATCAGCAAAAAACAACTGTGTCAATTCCCATTGTGTATTTGATTCCCCATAATTTAGTCCCACCCTCTCTCAAACACCCTAGCATTTACTTCTTTTACAATCCCATCTTTTTTTTTTTCAACAAGTCGGCCGTCTCCCACCGAGGCAGGGTGACCCAAAAAAAAAGAAAGAAAATCCCCAAAAAGAAAATGCTTTCATCATCATTCAACACTTTCACCACACTCACACATTATCACTGTTTTTGCAGAGGTGCTCAGAATACAACAGTTTAGAAGCATACACATATAAAGATACACAACATATCCCTCCAAACTGCCAATATCCCAAACCCCTCCTTTAAAGTGCAGGCATTGTACTTCCCATTTCCAGGACTCAAGTCCGACTATATGAAAATAACCGGTTTCCCTGAATCCCTTCACTAAATATTACCCTGCTCACACTCCAACAGATCGTCAGGTCCCAAGTACCATTCATCTCCATTCACTCCTATCTAACACGCTCATGCACGCTTGCTGGAAGTCCAAGCCCCTTTCCCACAAAACCTCC